CTAGATAAAAGAGGGAGAGAAAGAGGGTGCAGGCTGCTCTGGCGGTGAGAGCTAGCTGGGGTTTGTGGGGTGGGGGGGAGGAACAGATTTTTGGCACGCGGCAGTACGGCAGGAAGTAGAAAGCGTATGATGAGAAGAGCCAGCGTGAGAGCGAGTTTGGGCAGATTTAGTTGTTTTTTGGTTTGGTGCAGATTTTGGGCTTAGACGTCGTTTTTTTTTCTTTTAAAGATGACACAACGAATCCATCTCTATCCACAGAAAAAAGTCTCAAACAAAATCGGACTTGCACATATTATACATCAGCTGATGCACATAATTGTACACATGGTGACTAGCCCCGAGAAGGAGTACTGATTATGAAGATGCATACATACGTCGCGTAGTACGTTGTTGATGCTGCTGTGGATTCCATGTAGTGGCCCACAGCCATTCGGAAAAAATCGGAGTTCGTTGTTGATGGTGCTATGGTATCCGTGTCATGGCCCGCAACCATTCGATAATATCGGAGTACGTAAGTACGTACGTTGTTGATGGTGCTGTGGTAACCATGTCATGGCTCGCAGTCATTCGGAAAATTTATTTGTTTTTTGGGTTTGGTGCAGATTTTGGCTTTTGACGTTGTTTTAAACAGGACTTGCCTATGTTATAGGCACATCACCTGAGGCACACAGTTTTACACATGATGACCAGCCCCGAGAAGGAATACTGATGCAGATGCGTACGTCGGGTAATCAAGTACGTTGTTCATGCTGCTTTGGTATCCGTGTCATGGCCCACAGCCATTCGGAAAAAATCGGAGAACGTTGGTGATGGTGCTGTGGTATCCATGTCAAAACCTACGGGGGAAATATCTCCCAGCGCGGGTGGTATTTAGCAGAGGTCTCAGAATTGGTTCGGCAGGCTTTATCGTCGCGGAACGCGTCCCCTGGGTATTGCGCCAGTTTTCGCGACTTTGAGTGTCAACCACATGCGCCACGGTGGCCTGCCGAGCTCCGGGCACGAGCGTTTATCTATCGACGAGCCTTCTGCGTGCCCCTGAGAAGAAATCGCGAGAAAAGACTAGTTGCCGCGAGAGAAAGAAATGCCCAGGCATGAAAAGAGACCAAATCTTAGATGTACATGTGGATGTGTTTTTTTGTGCTACCCAAGTACGGGATCTCCGAATGCCACGTGTAAAATACCCGCGGACGTCGCGTATTCTTGGGCACGCTGAGTGAGTGTGCTCGGGGTAACTTAAGTACTACCAACATGCCTCGGAGTACGGCCGGGCATTGTTGGGGAAAAGGTGAGTACTTACTCAAACGCCTGGGTACGCAGAAGTAGATATAAAATACTTACTCAACAATCCGAGTACGGGTGAGTATTTCTGGAATACTTACTCAAGGATTCTGAAGGTTGAGTAAAATATTCAGCATCTGAGTATGCATGAGTACTACTGAACCTCCGGAGTATCGATGAGATCATTGAAATAGTTACTAAAGGGCCATACTCGAGTCTTTTCTCAAAAATACTTGAGTAGGAGTATACATCGCCAAACACACCCTTGGAAAGTTGCGAGAAAAGTGTAAAACTATAACGTTGCAAAACTAACTGTTCTTGTAGCATTCTGCAGCCATCAAAAGCGGTGTTACCCCCTCCTGTACGGGATGGTTGTACAACGCGGATTAGCACCCCTAGCTGTTTCCAGGAGGGGTATAAAACAAAAGAAAAAGCAGCCGATACGGCAGGTGCTCAATAAGGATCTTTGTGTTGCATGAGTCCCACGCTTGAATACTCTTTATCTGTAGAGGAGGGGCATCAATATAATATATGGGGGCGTTTGATGTAATCAATTGTTTTTGGGTTTGGGGAGTACATATCGTGTGGTTGGCCGATCAGACAACTAATTCGAGGTCCTTGTTCCGTTTTCCCTGTTTTGGGAAGTTTGTTAGTACACTCCCGTAAGCAGGGGGTGGGGAAGTGTCACGCGTGCTCTCGGGAAAATACATCCCCTCTTGGTATCACCGTCATGCATTTTCCCAAGATGTTGAGAAGCATTTATACGTCATACATGCGTGGTGCTGATGTTGTCTGGTAGGATGGGTATTTCAGAAAGGCAAAGCTGCACACCGGGGAGCCCGCAGTGCTCCATTTATATATATATATGATACGTGGTTTCGCTGTACAGTAGCACGTTCCAGAAGCGTCCATTGAACCGGTTCTCGGAAGTTGCCTTTGAAATCAATCATCGTAGACCGAAGGAAAGCATTGATTATTGATCTGTGCGAAAGCCTTTGAGAAAAGCATCACCGGGTGTTGTTCTGTGGGGTGTGTGCTATCTCGTGTAACCCGGGTGAAAAAGTGCAGGTCGCGGGAACCATGATTAAGGTGTGGTAACCAGGGTGTGTGATACCGCACACTTACAGGGACTGAAGTTGTTTGGAACTGCGTTACATATAAATATGCACCACCGCCTGTAAATAATTACCTACCGTACCCGCGGCCACACGTACGCGGGGCTTGGTGTTTGAGGGTGATACTACTGTACTGCTTGCCACACTCAGAGGATGTGTGATACTAAACACAGGAGTGATATTCCTGCCGAGCGTTCTTGGCAGTCGTGCGCAAGTGAGGAGGTAGGTGTTACGCACACAAACCCCTGCAGAACGTCAACAGCGCTCTCTCGAAAAAGCGAAAAAAGATAATTGCGTACCATGAGGCAAATTTACGAATCAAAAGGCGTTTTGTCTGTAAGGCTTACGGCTTGATTTTTTCCGCATTGGATTCGGGGGGCGGGTCCTTTTCTGAGCCCAAATAATCAATTGGGCGTCTTACGGGTAGGAATTTGGCCAATTCCAACAGCCCAAAATCCAACAGCGCAAATTCCAACAGCGATTCCGGCCGGCCTGTTAAAAATTGGCCCATTTTCCAACAGCGATCCTGTTGGAATATCGCTTTTAGAAATAGGGGGGGGTACTCCCTGGTCACACCCCGATCGTGCCAGAACGAGGAATTACCGTCTACTGGCGAAACAGAGGCCAGTATCATGAGGTCATGCACAACCCCTCTGCACGTTTCTAAAATTCAGGGCGTTCTGCGTCGCGTTGGCCGCACATGAGCCGAAAACATCAACCCTGCTACTGCTCTGCTGACGTTCTTGCCTTTCGGCCGAAAAGAGCCGTTTTTGCGCCTGCTGCATGTGTGACCAGTTGAAAACGCACGCCAGAGAGAGGCCTTAGGCCGTCGACATCCACAAACTGCAGCCAATGGCGTGTGGTCATACTCATACCCTCTGCTCGCGTACCAGAAACAGAGCGTACTGTCCAGTTTTGATTGCACACGGCCTGCAAACGTGAACCAAAGTGTGTTTCGGTGTTGACTTTTTGGACTTGTTTCTTGTTCCGCCGCGTGTCTGCTCCGCATGTCACCCGCGACCAGTCCACAACGCATGCCAGAGGGAGGCTTTAGGCCGACGACATCCACAAACTACAGCCAATGGCGTGTGATCATGCACATACCCTCTGCTCGCGTCCCAGAAGCAGAGCGTATTGTCAAGTTTTGATTGGACACGGCCTGTAAACGTGGGCCGTGTGTTGCCTTGTTGACTTTTTTGAACGTTGCCTTTTTGTTTCTGGCTGCTCCGAGCGTGATCAGTTTACAACGCATGCCTGAGAGAGGCCTTTGGCCGACGACATCCCAAACTGCAGTCACTGGCGTGCCATTATACACATGCCCTCTGGAGGCGACCCAAAAACAGGGCACTCGGTGTCTTGCTGGTCGCACACGAGCCAAAACCGTGAACTGAAGCATGTTGTGACCCACCAAGACTTGAATCTGCCCTTTTTCCCCTGAGAAAAAAATCTGTCCCGAGGATCCGTAAGAAGGTCGCTTGGATCCAGATATTTTTCCCTTGCAGACCACCCCCCCTCGACCGAGAGCTAAAATAATTCTCCGAAATAATCCCGACGTGCGACTTGGCCAAATAATATCAATACTGACTGGCACCACGGAAATACTCCCGATGCAAGTAAGGCGGGGGCGAAAAATAAGGTTGGGTGGTTTGCATTGAAGGACCGCTTACGCGGAGGTGTATGTTCCCTACTGGGCCATCTGCATATCATCAGGAACCACTGCGGAGTCATGACCAGGGTGTAGAAGCTGGGCGCCGTGATTTACACGAGTCCGTGCACGAGTCCTAACCCCAGGAGGTGTGATACCTTATGTAACCCGCGGATGGTTTTCGGCTACTTGTTTGCGATCCATATGGATGGTACGTGGGTGGGTTACGCAACCCCGCGGGCAAAACACAACAAAGGTAGCCCCCCCACACACTTTACCTGCAGCATTGGGTAGAGTGGTACGTTAACGCGAGGAACAATCGAGCAACTCTTGCTCTTGTAGATTTGAATAACGATATATGTATGCATATCAGGTGCTACCCTACAAGACCTACTGCCGTAGAGTGACACCTGTGGCTGAAAGGGCAACAGCGCCGTATGCATACAACGCATTGCATGACACCTGCTGTGTGTTCAATCAAGTCTGTGCACGCCCACGAAACTGGAGAAAAATCCACAAAAGGACACGAAACCCTGCCCAAACACATTGAAAGCCACTCACACTCTCAAGTTCCCAACCATGTGAGAGTGGACAGCGAGGCTGTGCACCGAATACTCTATGTTGGGTGCGGTGGGCAAGTTGATGAGAGGATGAGAGCGCCATGCGCCATGAAAACAGGTTGCGCAAACCCAATCAGTTCCAAAGCTAGCACGACAATAGCACCCCCACACTTTCCCCTACCTTGAATCCCTCACAGACTACTCCGGTTTCCACTCGTATAGTGGTTATGTCCCGTGCAGGTAGTGGACGCTGCTGTGGCAGAAGCGGTGGTGCGCTGTCGGAGGAGCCGGCTGTCTGCAAGTTGGTGCTGACGTGCTCTCAGAGTGATTGTGGGGGGTCCGTGTCATCATGAGTGTTTGATAGAGACCAGTCGGAACCTCTAATTTTTTTTTTACGTGGGTATGTGGGTTCGTTTTGGCAACACACCAGCCGACCCCACAGCTGCAAACACACCCACGCAATCAAGGCTCTCCTTTGGGCATTTATCATGTAAGACCTCCAAGTTGACTCTCCATATTGCTTTCGTTCGCGAACACCCAATTCTCGCCGCACGTACATGCGCATACGCATTCCACCAATATTGTTTACACTCGTCTGTTGGCCTCCTTCCTAGACTACCGTATATGACACAAGATAACACACCCCCTGGACCGATTTTCAAAGCTCGATTACTCCACGACGAAGAGGATGCATAAATGAAACAATACGTTTTCGAACAGCTCTCGACGAGACGGTTCCAACGCCGCCGTTTTCGGCGCTGTGACTCTTCCTGCTGTTGAGAAATCGAGCTTTGAAAATCGGCCAAGGGGGTGTGTTATCTTGTGTCATATACGGTAAGCACATTCGAGCGCATGGTCCAATACATCTGGTATCGGTTGGTGCCTCAGCGGCCCGAAAGGTGAGCGTTACGGACACTTGTCCCATGGGACTTACCTGTGGGTAATGGTAGAGTGTGTGTGCTTGTTTTTGCATTTTGCCCTGGCAGGTCCCCTCGTCCCTCCCACCGGGGTACGCAGCGCACCCAGCGTTAGATACCTACAGCAGTATGCAACACTCATGTTTCAGACGGGTTAGATACCCATCTCCCACCAATCACGTCGATTTTGGAAGAAATTTTGGAAGACAGAGACCGATGATTGGGCGATGGGCACGACGCTCGGAGAGAATCCCCGAAGTCCTCTTGGAAGACGCAGCACGCAACACCGCACACACCATGTAGACAAAATACGAGACAACCAGCACAGCAGCATACGAGACTACTGTAGGCAAGGTTAGCCAAAGGCACACATCATTGGAGGCGTTGGGTGTGACTGTAACAGCCCGTTGCCTGCTGTCGGCAGCACAAGCGAATGACGACACCAGTCAATCTGCGGTCCGTCAGCATCATCCTCTATCTACCGATCTTTTGGAGCTTCCCACACAGACGCATTTTTACCACAACAGAGACACGAGACGTACACATTGCTTTAGGCCAAGGATCATGGCTGGCGTCGGGAGCTATGTTTAGAGCCCGAGGCCTGCTTCTAGCAGCGTAAGCGAGGGAACATACGAGTGCACACAAGTCAATTCTGTCTGCGCTCTGTCTTCATCTGCAGGCCGATCTTTGCTCCACAACAGACGCACCCCCGAAACAGAAAGACGTACACAACGCTGTTGGCCAACGGCGGCCACATACACACATCGTAGGAGACGCCGGGAGCGAGTTTTTAGAGCCCGTTACCCGCTGCTAGCAGCGAAAACGAGGAAAGCAAGTGCACACCCATGCACACCAGCAGCAGCAGCAGCATAGGAGCAACAACAGCAGCAAAAGTTGCAGCTACTGATTAGAGCTAACAGCTCTCTCATTCATCCCTTGACTGACTGGTGGTGTCGGGTGAGATGTGAGCATGTGCACTGGTGACCTCTGTAGCGGCGTAGGCTCATCCATATCTATCTACGCTTGCCTTTATGTCTCTCTCCGCCCCTTCCTTTCGCCCTTCGCGCGAAATAATGGAGCAATTTTTTTTGTTAGACCCCTTACGGGAGCGGGAGGTGAGCCTAAAAAGATCCAGGAAACGCCTGCATGTCTGAGTTATCCAAAGTCTAACTCCAGTTTGAAACTTCCCGCTGACCCCCCTTCGCATATATTTTTAGTATCGGAGATTGTAGTCCTTGTGTGATAAAAAATCAGTTGCAAATGTGTATTACTTTCCTAAGAAGCTGAAGAATTTTCTTTGGGCAGTAAGGAGACTTCGCACAGATTCTCTCCCGCTGTCGGGCCAGTTGTAGCCTGTCGTGCGCAACAGCCCGGACAGAAGACGTCAGCTTTCAACCAAAAACGAACGCGGTGAACAGCTGTTTCTGGTCTGATATTGAACGTGTCACACGTGTTGCCGCCTATGGGAAATTAGAAAAAAGTGCGGACAAAAAATCACGCCGCCGGTTTCAGCGGGGTCAATTTTGTTTCATCCCCTTCCCAGATTGACATGGCTGAGCCCAGTTCTTTCACCACCTCGTGCTCCTCACACAGACCTCGGCATACCACCAAAGTACACGGGCGCCTCACGCAGGTCATACCCTCCATCGGAAAGCTGGTTTTACCCCTTGATTTTGCTTTGGACGCAAGAAATGCCTCACGATCAAATCTGAGTTGAACCAGCTCTCTGTTGCTGCGCGCAACCTTTTCAGCTCTTGTCAGGCAACTTTCACCTGCGGTGGCCTGGGCACTACGGTCTCCCAATTCAGCCGATACCTGGCCATGGTAGAGATAAAACACCGTAGAACGAATACAAAACGTGCACGATTAGGGATCGCCAAAACAGCGATTGCAGTGGGCCTGCGAAAGTCGGCCCAAGTTCAAGTCTAAACTCCAGTAGTCAGCAGAGAGGCTTCCAGAACGATCGTGAGCCTACCTCCAAAATTTTCATCGTAATCCAAGCCATGGAAGCACACAACGGACCCAAGACGCCGTTGGCCTAGTACCTAACCCTAACCAAACCTGACAAAAATTGGTGTGTGCGCGTGTCTATATGTGGGCAACGCATAGAGGATGTGCACGATTTGGGATCAGCACTACAGCGAGAGTTGTAGCAGAGTAACTAAAAGTCCCTCGCGGAAAGACTGCCTCCGGATGTGATTCCAGGATTTGTCATGTCTGCATCCTTAAAAAAATATATGGCAATTTTTTCATAATTTAGGCGGCAACACATGTGCCGTGACCGTGGGTGTCAGCATGGCAAGAACAGCTGAGCGTTGGCCCCGCAGCTGTCACAGAGCGGCTGTGGAGCGAGCGTGTGCGTGTGGGCGGGGCACGAGAGGGGGAAAGAGCGTACAGTAGCGTTCCCAGCGTATAGACAGCAAGGCGGTGACCCAAGCATCACGGTGTTGAGATTGCGTCCCAAGCAGATTGTGACAATCAACATGACATGGACAGGAGAAGAGATGGATTTTTGAACAGTCCGCCGCAAAACGTCAATACCACACCGCTCGCTGTTGTGCACAGCTGCAACCAAATATGTAAGCGGTGACTGCTGTTTCTGGCGAGATACCTGATTCTGTTCACACGCTGGAAACGCACATATATACATGGTGCATGCGTAGTTTGTTCTTCGCTGCTGTTTAGAGGGCAAGTGTGTGTGCGTTTGCTTCGAGAAAAACACCGCTTGATGACCGACGCCGCTCAAGTCGTTCTGCTGGCGGCCATGATTCCGACACTGCTGAGTGAACCATTTATTGTACTTAGGGTAAGCAGCACCATATAGTTTCCAGCAGCAGTCGAGCCAAGTATGCATGTCGTGTGGCGGTGTCAGCAGAGATGCAGAGCAATGCACACCGCTCCGTGCGGATCGCTGAGCCTAAGGTCGGGACGTCGGCACGCACGTTTACTTTACACATGCGCGCGGCATGCGGGCTTTCACCCAACAAACATCCAGAAAATTGAATTGGTAATAGACAAGTGGGTCGAAAAATTGCTTTGCGGAGACCGCTCGTGACAGGGCACAACCACTCAAAATCTCAACATACCATTCTGATGCATGCAAACATGGGCAAGGCCCATCCATGCACAGCATGAACATCAGCGTTTCTTTACTTTCGGGCACGTCTTCACCCTGCACACAGCCGCGGCGCACAAGGCCTCAACAGGTTGCCCGATTTTGTCCGAAATTCCGGTGGGTATACACACCGGAATCTACGATTTTTTTCATGTACGCACCATTGTCTGCTGTGTGAACGACTTTTTTCCAAAATGTACCCACCTCTGTCCGATTTTTTTATTCGATAAGTTCCCCCATGCGGTGACGTGGAGGTCGATTTTAGAATGAAAAACCGGACAAAAGTGGGTCACACAGCAGACAAAGGTGGGTACATGAAAAAAATAGAAGATTCCGGTGGGTATTCCCACCGGAGGTTCGGACAGATCGGGCAACCTGTTGAGGCCTTGTGCGCCGCGGCTGTGTGTAGGGTGAACACGTGCCCGAAAGTACAAAAAAAGTTGATGTTCATTCTGTGCACGGGCCCTGCCCATGTTTTCCATGCATCAGAATGATATTTTGAGCTGTTGTGGCCTGTCACGAGCGGTCTCCGCAAAGCAATTTTTCGAGTATCCACTTTTGTCTGAGAAAGGGGTGGGTATACCCACTTTCGTTTGTTTCCCAAAATTGATTTTTCGTCTTAACTCGGTGGCCGATTAATATTTTCTTCGATTGAGACCAGTGTTAAGAGCACGAAATGCTGGTTCCCGTTGAAGATTAGGGGCTGCGTACAACACCTGTCTGCAGATCACACTCTATCAAATCACACGGTTGCGATTTCCGCACTCGGAAGACCGAGCACATATCCTGGTAGTTGTTCAGTTTAACCAATTGCTCGTTTTTGCTCCAGTGAACTCGAAAAACTGAACCATGCCATCGCTTCCATTGGGTTTTGTGCACACAACGCAACAGACGGCATCCCGGTCCAAGCTGTTGCCGTCGTGAGGCCGGTCACGTCGTGTCAGCACTTTTGATCAGCTTTTGAATTGCAAACAGAATGTCATCACCACAACAACAAGTGCGGCGCGTGGAAAGAAAGAATAAGATGTTCACACAAAGGCACACACAACGCACGCAGCCGCCGCTGTGCCTGGCACATATTCCATCCATGCATTATCCGCCAGCACGGACACAACCACGGCGGTGAATCAGAGTGCCGGCCCGGTTAGTGGCGGGCCGGATCTCTGACAGAGAGAACAGCAGACCCGAGCAGCGGAACATCAGCAACCAACAATGCATATGTGTGCCTTTTGTACGGTACACAAGCAATTTGAGTCCTGCGGTGCTGCTGTAGCGCCACCACCTGCAATGCGGGCAAGCGGGGAAACATGTCGTGCTAAAAATGGGAAGAGAGGGCAGCTTGCCGCATTCCAAGGCTCCCTCCGAACGCATGTCTTATGTTGCTGCTACTGTAGTCCCTCAGCGATAACACCAGCAAAATTTACACACGGAACAGACACTCTTTGGTACACACATACACGCAGAGTCGCCATTCGTGTGGATGTGTGCCTGGGGATTCAGCGTTGCAATTCAATAACGAAGTACAATTTCCCAGCATCTCAGCGCACCACAAGACCCATGTTTACGGTCTCAAAATCTTGGAAATTTATCTTCAAATGTTGTCAAACATTTTCGCGCGAATATCTGCCAGAGGAACATTTGGGTATCGCTTTTATGCGTAAGACATCTTATCTTGTGGTTTTGTCGGAATGCATCGCACGTGCGGCGGGAATCGTGGTCTACTGCTACCAAACGATTTGTGGCAGACAAACCACAACTGCGTCATGGAAACCGAATGTAACGAGCTTGCAAAGGGCTCCCGACAACCCTTGATGCACTGAGCTGATGCTGTGCTCGCCAATATGTGGCGATAGCGCTTCGGGCGTGCGAGAAAACATGTTTTCGGTGTCGAAAAGAGACCAAAACGTGCGTCAGCGCTTCCCAACGGCAAAAAGTCGGCCGCTTGAGAAGAGACGTGAGTACAAAACTATCGAGCTCTCACCCGTTAGACCATCGATTCATGTTTTGTCTTATTGGGTGTCTTCTCCATGAACGACTCTCATCTGGTTGCGCGTGGGTTGGCAGTGGCCGTGCTCAGTCGGCAGGGAGGTACATCGTTGTGCGCACAAAGTTGTGGACACAACGTCATTTCCGGTCTATTTTTTCACTTGAATATAGAGGGCTTGTTCCTCCGCCCTCAAAAAGACTTTTTCAACATATCGAGTTCACAGCGACGCACCTCCCTGCCTATTGAGTACGTCCACTGCTGAACCACGCACACCCGGATGAGAGCCGTTGATGGAGAAGACACCCACGAAGACAACACGCACCGTCCCACACCCGCGGCGGATGTGCAAACAGACTCGAACAGTAGGCAGACCCATCATTCGCATGCTCGCTAAGTCTCGTGGACACTCGCCATGTCCTCGTTCCGTGCTTAAGACATACCACGAATCGCACCAGCACCACCAGCACCACCAGCGGTTTGGTCGGTTAATCGTTGTCCTTCGAAGATCTGCACTCAGTCGGAAAACTGCTGAGTGATGTCTCCCCGATATTTGTGCGAAAAAGCGAGCGCGACCACAGCTCCACACCCTGCGAAGTAAGAGGCCACGGGAGGCAGCCGCCAACAAACACGAACACCAAGCACAGCAGCAGCAGTCGTTGCAGCCAAGTGTAGTAGGCCATGCGGCGACCCTCTGTCCATCGCACCAGCCATCGCACCAGCAGCAACAGCAGCGGCAGCAGCGATTCGGCCGGTTAGTGGTTGTCCTTCGTAGATCTGCACTTTCGAAGCCCGAATAACGAATAACTAAAAGGTTCCAGCTGGCGAGTAACAAGATGGGCCCATTTCTTACTGGATCGGCTGATGTTTTCTCGTTCGGAAAATAGGGGGGTTCACACCCCAATCGTGCCAGAAAGAGGAACTACATCGTCTGTTGCCGAACGACAGGCCAATAGCGTGAGGTCACTCACAAACCTCTGCCGGTATCGAAAACTCAGGACGTCATGCATATTTTTGGCCGACCACGAGCCGAAAATGCCAACTTGCAACGTTGCTGTGCTGACGGTCTGGGGTTGCGGCCAACAAGAACCGTTTTTATGACTGCTGCACGTGTGACCAACGGAAAACGCATGCCAGAGAGAGGGAGAGGCTTTAGCCCCCACATCCACAATTAGCAGCCCATGGTGTGCGGTCATACACATATCCTCTGCAAGCGTCCTAAAACATGGAATTTTTGTCCTGTTTTTATTGCGCACGGCCTGCAAACGTGAACCGAAGTCTGTTCCGTGTTGATGTTTTAACTTTTTCCTGGTCCACGTGTTCACTCCATCTCCATGTGTTGACTACGAATCCACGGTCGACCAGGGAAAGGGAAGGCTGAACCCTTCTCGCGATAAACAGTAAGGCGAGCACCGCAGGGGGAAAACCATTAAAAAGCTTCCTGTGTGACCTTCCTCTTACATGACCCCGGCTAATGCGTCAGGTACATCCGCCGAAAGGCCTGTGAACCGGCGTCAGAGTAGATGGGACGAACGCACACGTAAGCATATTTTTTTATCGGTACATGTTTAGGTCTAAACTCCTCACTTCGCCTGGAGCGCTCGAGCTAAGCAAGCTGAGCACTCTAGTTTGAGCGTTCAAAGATTCATAAAAGCATAGTTGCCTCTTCCTCTATGGCCGCGACGTCCGCTGGGACTGTTGTTTACTTGACCCTGTTTTGTCTTGAACAATCCGCTACAGCGGGGATGACCTCATCCGTACAATCCGCGCTTTATGCTATGTCCTTCACTGACTTCCGCAATTTTTCCCACCTCGCCCCCCCGTGAAAGCAGCGTTGTAGCATGAGTGGGACGTGGTGCACGATCGAGAGTGACCCTGGCGTATTCACGGAGTTGATTGAAAGCATCGGGGTCCATGGAGTACAGGTGCGCAGTATTACAACTTGCAAGCTGGTGGAGTGGGGGGCTCGGCGATGGAATCGCACTTATACGCTCTGCTCTTTCTTTCCAGAGACGCGGCGATCAAGAGACTGCTGTTTCATCTTGTGTAGTCCACGTAGCTGCACTCTGTTCTGTGTCACGAAAGCTTGGGAGTGCGTGCTGCGATCGATACAGGGAGTCCTACTTAATGCGGAGTTTCTTGATTCTGTTCCTTGAGGTTCGATGTGCGGGTGTGTGCATGCGCTGGCCGTGCAGGCGCTATTAATAGCATCATAACGCGATAGCAGACCTATCTTAGAAGCCAGCTTAGACCAAGCAATAGATTGGGTTGCTGCCATGCTACTGCTTGTGTTCCTCTGTTGTCCCAGCAGAAGCATGGCGCTTTGGGCGCGTCCCAATCACTGCATGCCAACGGGCCGTCAGCGTACCATCTTCAGGAGAGACTCGGCCGAAACTACCCGATCTGTCGTTTCAACTTGAACATCAGGAAGCATGACACTTGTGCGCATTATTTCATGGCTCGCGCAAAAGAACACAACGCATGCGTGTCCAGTGGTCAGCAACCTCGTGACCACGGATTGCGTTTCTATATCGATGACCCATGGTCAAGACCACTACGCAATTTGCGGACGTTGGTAAACCTATCGACTTAGTTTTGGACTTGGCCGATTTCCTGCTCGTTCGCTAAGATCACATACTGTAATACGTTCGTTCGATAGGTATTCGCGACATTCCTATGTTCGATTTTCGAGAAGGGTGAATACAGGCGTAGCTGCTGCATTCCCTTTCAGCAGTTGTATACCACTGTCAGGAACGGATCGTGAGAATTCGGCGTCTCCTCTACATTCCACGTGGTAAGCAAGTGACTTCTCCTTCGATCTCGTGACCCCCTCGATGGCAAATAGATCCTCCGAATCACGATTTGTCGAGCCGCCCTCCCCACAGCCGAAGCAGCCATCCAGCTCGCGTCGCCCGTTTCACAACGATAGGACGCGCCCCAAAGTATCCGTTTGTATGTGGATGCTTATGCGGAGCGGACGCGCCCAAAACGCAAAACATGATGCATGACATGCAACCAGAAGCATTTCACCGTTAAGGAGAACGATCTCGCACGGGTGTTGAGCAAATTACGTGGAGGAAGGGCAAAGTAGAGAGCTTCCGAGAACCAACGTGAAGGGGGAAGCCGCACGTCTGCTCGGAATCGTCATTGGCAGTTTGTGATTGGCATCAGAGTATGTCTTGCAGAAAAGGTCGATCCCAACAAGATACGTGCGATTGGTCATTCGTATCGTGGACGCAGTCAAGCGATATGCTGCGGTGCTTGTGGCCACCGTTTTTGCAGTGCCTTAACCACTGTCTATATTTTAATGTGAAGACAACAACAATATCCGGACATCGGGTGGCGTTCGAACGTATGCAGGCTTCTGTGGATTCGCGACTCTTGTTGGGCTTTTGTTCTCTGTCCCGCAACACACACGCCGCACGTTTCTGTGAACAGCAGGCGGTGACCCAAATAGGATACGAACAGTGGGGTCACACGCACTCATTTTGCGTAGACCCGTTTGCCGTTAACCCTTCTAGTACTGGACGCCCAAATGGTGACACTTTGGGGACACAGCACTCAAATGTCTGTTTACCGCACCATAGTCGCCCTGAAGCTCCGCTGTGTGAAACAGACGTGAGAACCCTAGGTCTATCATGCTTGGGTGAGGTGGTACGCTGTGTGATATGCTGTGTGATGCCTCTCGTCGGCCTCTAACATGCTGTACACAATCTCCCAAGCCGCGTGTCCCCTGGGTGGTAACACTGTACATAGCCTGGAACTGGAAACATTTGCTGACTTGGAAACTTATCCCCACGTGTTTTGGGGACACTTTTCATGCTGAAGCCATGTCACCCTTTTTCTCGCGAGTAGCTCGGCCCTCTCCGCATTGTTTTGGAGGGACTGTAGCCCCTCGGCCAGTAACTGACAAATAATTTGCGATATAGACATATTTTTGCGGAGAGACCGCGTGCTCGGAGGGTTAAGTGTAGCCTGGGATGACCAAGAGATGTGTTTGGATCATGTGTTGCGGTGGCTGGCAGAGAGGGCAAGGTGAAAGGAGAACTAGCACCGGAGAGTCGAAACCAATTGACAACGGCTGGCGGCACATCTGCTCAGGGTGGCAGTTTGTTGTACACTTCTGTGTGTCGTGCTTGGACAACAGACCGTGAATTTTAGAGCCGAGCCCCCGAGGCGCGAGGAATCATCCCATCGGCCGACTTGCACTACTTTACAAGCTATCAGCAATCATAAGCTCCATCGGTGCCTCTGCTTTGACGTTTGGCCCAGTCGGAATTCGGCCGTCCACCCTCGGAACACGCGGGTTCTCTCGGCACCTTATTGCTCCGATCTCGATCAAATTGGGCGTAAACGTCACTTATCTGCCACCAAACGGAAGCTCCGTCCAATCTCCAAAACGACGGATAGCTCCTTCGAGGCCGGGATGGCTGTGTGTCTACTTATTTCTCCTGCCAACGACAGATCCAGGGCACACCTCGGCCACCTGTCCCGGCGATGCAATCTTGTTCTTGTTGCACACGTGCGCATGCAAGTCGCTGACTCTCGTCTCCGGGCACATTAAGGGGACCCAGACAAGCCCGGTAATCAGAGGCCTCTGAACCGTAACAAAAAAATGCCTGAAACCGTCGAAAATTGTGCATGTTTGGGGGGGGGACATATAAGCCCACAAAACCTATACGAACTGGGGACGGCCCTATCGACAGCAGTGCACAGCCCCGACAGCCGCGGTAGGGAGCACAAGACGCCACCCACTAGCACAGGATCTAGCCAGATGGAAGGCTCAACCAGCCCCCTAGCGAAACAGGCCCGCAGGTCAACGGACGCCATGCAGACGCCCAACCAAGAGGAGGCTGCCCCTGCGGGAATTCATCCTCCGCAGCAGTAGCAGCAGCAACAACAGCAGCAGCAGCAGGGACAGCAGCAGCAGCAGCGGGAACGGCATCAGCAGCCGCAAACTGGGTCCCAACAGGACACTGGCCCAGCACGAGGAGCCGCTGGTCACTTGGCAGGAGGACCCCGAAGGAGCCAGGACGTGCGGGCGATTCCACGCTCAAGTGGTCAGTCGCGTCAACCTGCAGGCGAGTACCTACGCCGCAGCGGTTACTGCTGTGGCAGTAGCAGAGAGGAGGGGGAATGCCGTACATCCTGCCGTAACTACTTAGGGCTAACGAATCGCGGGGCTTACAAGGGGTCCCTGGGCGAAATGCTTTGAACGATAATGCAAACCGCGTGGGCGTCGTACTGAAATCCCAGTGCTTGACCATCTCTTCTTTTTTTCGGTGAACACAGCAGACGTGACATAAGATACCACCCCCCTGCCCCTTGATCGATTTGTAAAGCTACAATCTACATCATCGCGAGGAGGAGGCATTGTTCGGAGGACAATTATTTTGAGGTTCTCGACAGGTAGCGGATGCAGGGCGTGCACTATTACCACCGCCTAGCTTGTTGCCGCTTCGAAATAATTCGATATTTACACTTGGGCCCAGTGTTACATAATATCCCCCCCCCCCCCCCCCCCATCCCGCGGGGATCGATTTGTAAAGCACGATTACACCATCACTGTGAGGAGGCATTCCCCAAACGACATTTTTTCGTAACTTGTAGGCAGGTAGCGGATGGGCATGCATTTTTAGCGCCACCACACTTGTTGCCGCTTCGAAAGAATTCGATATTTACACATCGGCCCGGTGTTACATGATATACCACCCCGCGCTCCCGCCCCGATGTTTGCCATCGGGGTTGGGTTTTCGTCGCTTGGCAACGACGTTGTAAAACAAGCCGCCCACCCTGGTGTTTGCCATCGGGATTGGGTTTTCGTCGCTTGGCAACGACGTTGTAAAACAAGCCAATTCACTTCGTGAACTCGGCAACCAGGTTGTTACCGCTTTTTTTTTTTCCTCTGTTTTTTTTGGGCGGTAACCATGAATGGTGGTCGAGTAGATCATGTTGTGCGGGGTGGAGAACCTCACTCCGCGCAAGGGGGATAATCGCACCACGTTGTGTTAAATTGATCAAGTACCCTCAAGGCAGATACACGGTGCTTACAACTGTCTCACAAGAAAACAAATTAAGTCATACGCAGCCGTCATCCGAAGGCAAGGAAGTAAGCACAAGATGCCGAACACCCTTAGCAGGATGCAGCGCACCCTTCATGCGACTCGCCGAATACCTCACGGCGCTTCGCGCTTGGTGATGTGAGAGCCTGGTCCGGTGAGAACCCGGCGTGCTCCGTCCCGGCTTTGTAGGGATGCGAGGTCAATGGTCTAACGACTACGGCATGCACGACTATGAGTACACCCCCCCCCCCCCCCCCTCCCGTATCGATTTGTAAAGTTCCATACAGCCATTACGAGGAGAAGGCATTACCCAAACGACATTTTTTCGTAGGTTGTCAACAGGTAGCGGATCCAGCTCCTCCTTTCTCGGAGCTGCCACACTTGCTGCCGCTATGAAATAATTCGGCCCAAATGTGCTGTATATGGTAGCCTACGGTACATTCCATCGTAGCACACCTCGCGCGAGGCGGTAGTACGCAGCACCTGGCAGAACCGAATACAGATAACCACACCGATGTCCGCCATCTTTTCCGTGCAAACTTTCCGTGCAGAAAGTTCTGGACCGCGAGGTGTCAAGAGACGGCGACGCCGGATATTGCTTGGCCAAGAGGGTCCGCCATCAGGTCTACTACGGGGCCTCCGCGGATCTCCTTTGCAAAGGCATGGGCAACCAGTGTACCGCGGGTGCCTGCATGAGAGCTGCCGCACAGGTCTACGCCGGAGACGGAACTGACGGGGTCCCGGCGGAGACTGTGCGCGCCATGTGCAAGTCCTAGGCCGTGAAACAAGTTGTTAGCATTGGGGACACGACTTGTTCTCAACTGCTGCTGTCTGTAACACAAACCGTGCGAAAGGCCACCTTCGACACGGGTGTTGTTCAACGTAGAACCCGATTGGACGGGCCATTCAGCTCCAGGTTTCTCTGGTTTCATTTGACTTGCTTTTTAATGTAAAGCGTGTCTTGGCAGTAGGGGTGGAAATGGAAGATGGGGTCATTAAGGGCTGTTCTGTAGCGACCACGGTGAGCGTCCCCGGGAATTTCAGAGGCGATAATACCTTGCACTTGTACCAGGACCGTGGTCTAGATGGACTGTCTAGAGAGTTGTACCCGTTTTTATGGTTCGGCTTGTGATCACGGAAGGCGTCCGCGCCGGGACCACTACAGATGTTAGAGTAGAAGGTGTTGGGCGGAGACCGGCCTGGATTTTGTTGTGAAGAAAATAATATTGCGATACATGTGCACTAGTGTTTTCTTCAGCTTACCCCTTATGATTCGGGGTCATTGTTGTTTCGCTTCTTCTTTTTTTTTCGATATATTTTCGTACACCGCGATGTACCGCCTCCTCCATTACCCAGGAATCCCACCCTTGGGGTACAGCTGTGCCCGCTGCCCAATGGCCTATTTTCAATCCACTCAATCCGCCTGTCGATGGGGCCACAAAGGGGGTGGTAACACCGTGCCCTCAGGCATGTGTTCTTGAAGCTTGAGGTCTAAGATTAAGATTTGTACAGCTCACCAACTGCCGATGTGGTGTCAACACGAATTATCGCACGTGCTTTCCACATTCTAGGACGGCCCGGTCATACTCGCGACAAACCGGATACCGTAAGTTACGGAGTTTTCCTTCGGGGAGGGGATCGTTTTTTTTTCTGAAACCAAACCCCCTAGGGGGGAAATTGACGTTCTGCGGGGGTTCGTTTTTTTTTTCCAAAGCTACCCCGGCGGGACGAACCCCCCCCCCCGGGGCGTTGTGCAAAATAATGATGGTCCACACATCACCTATGTTCCGGACAACACAGAGAGAGGTGAAAGTGAGATGGATAAGGTTTATGACCAAGTGACAAACGGTGCCTAAATGTCGCTCGAAGCGCAGACCTGCGAGTGAATTTTCTGTCCCATATCATGCTTTTTGTGCTCTGCGATGCAACAAAATCGACTCAAAAAAGATGGGAAATACATCCCCCCAGAGGGGGACTCGTGGCAAAAATGGTACCCCGGGGAGAAATGGACATACCCGGGGGGATTATTGACATACCCGGGGGGATTATTTTTTGGGTCGAAAACGATCTACCCCGGGGCTAAATCAACGAACTCATGCTTCCAGGCCGAAAAGAAAGGTGATGGGGGGAGGGGGAAACTCTAAGCCAGGGGGAAAACTCCGTAAGTTACGGTATGCCGCTGGCACGAGCCGATTGAACACAATTTCCTCCCGAGACACAAACACCAAAAACCAAGATTGCGACAAACGAAACTCACTCGCAAACAAATCCGTATTGTGTCACTACTCTCTTTATCTACGGTCACGTATCCTGCTGGCAGGCGCCTACTTGACCCCTTGCGAGACGCAAACACTTCGTCCGTCGCCGAAAGCGCAAAGAAACAAATCGTACTCGTAGCTCCCTTCTGTGCTACGACTTAGCCATTGGACTTTTGAACCTCCCACTTTTTCCGGACCTCGAACCAAATCTTCGGCCCCTTCCTCGCGGGTTTGTGTGCCACCAGAAACTGGTGGCTAACGAGTGCTTCTAGACAAGAGACACACACGCCGCCGGTCTTGCGTCCTCCCATCCGGACCTCCTCTAACAGCTTGTCATTGTTTTCGTGTTGCTCCCTCCAGAGTTGTACTCTGGAGTCGCTGTGCCACCCGCCCCCTTCCTCGTCCTCGGATTTCCTGTCGGACGTCCTGTAGGCGGCGGTCCTCCTCCGCCATTTGACTCGCGGTCACCTTCGGCATCTTTGCCCTGGGCGGCAGTCTGTTCCCTGAGCACTGCTTTCGTTTTATAGACTCACCGAAGGCTTCGATGGTATTATAACTCAGCGCCAGCACATGCTCTACGCGACGCACTTTGAGCCAACACCCGCTGGGTCGGACCTGTCGAAGGTGTTTTCTAATGTCGTCAGCGCCGATCGATTGGCGCCTATCCTCCATGATACCACCTGCAGCAGACCAGCGACCATTCACGAAGCATGAGGATAACACTGAGGGGCATGTGGGGCCCAAAATACCGCTACAAGTCATCCGGCAAGGGCGTTCGAGCACACTCCAACAGACGCTTGTATCCAGGTTTTGTACATATATTCAACACAAATTATATATCGTAATGCCGAGAACACGCTTGACATTCTCAAAAGAGCGTGTGGCATTACTTACTTGGTTGGTCTCCGTCGCCGAGGACCAGCGAAGTACCGCAAAAGGTACCGTACAACAACCGCGACACCCGTTCATACGCGCACAGAGAGGACACCAGCAAACCGCGACAAGCTGTACTTTTTCTATACTAAATCCCTATTAATAAGGGTTTCACCATAGTAGTACGGAAAACGCCGTAACTCGACCAATTTAAAGAGGAACCTGGTCCGTTGTATATCATATGAAAGGTATTTCTCCTGAGCATCGTTTGAGCCATCTCTGACACAGATCTGTAAGGTTGGTGGTGGTGAAAACGCCTATATAGATACAAATACCGAGGACTGCTGTACAGGACTTATATCGCCACCCATAACTTTTTCGTCCGGGCCTCTTTCAGTTCCAAACTCGGCGAAAGTGCTGAGAATGTCAAGTACGACTATATGCGATAAGTTAGACTAACCTCTACCGCTTGTGCCGGCACCCATGTGTGCGTTTCTACACCTTACGGTCCAGTTTGGGGCGATCACGGAGCCCCCTTTCCACCGCAGCAGAACGTATACATGGCAACACGTATTCGAGAATCTGACGCTACCAGACGACCCTCCACATCCAGGGCTGCTCGTAGATATACATCCGACCAGGTTCCTCTCTCTGTAAGCGAAGCTAGGGCAAGAGCGCCGTCCTGTGCTGCTGCTCTGGTCCGCAAAAATACACATGCACAAGAACCAATCTTGCCACCAGCAACGATTTCTTACGAACTGGTTGCTCTTGTTCATCACAGTCGGCAGTCAGCAGTGCTGTGAGTGTGTGCAACGGGGTGTACCTGCTGTTTCATCCAGCACCTTGTCCTCGTCTCCCGGTGGCCCACCAAAGTAGCGGGTGCTGGTCTCTGCTGTGGCTGATTTTCGAACCAAAAGGGGGGTTTCCAGCCGTTCTAAAGGCTAGATGTGTGGTTTTTCCGAACCGGAACATAGGTTGTCTGGGTCCCCTTAATCTCTTTTCCTTGCACCCGCGGATGAACTGTTGATCTCATGGCAGCGAACGCTGTATAGCGCGCATGAGTTCACTCCTTTGATTGAGTGTGGATCTCCATCTCGTCTGTGCTACCTACATCGGTTGGGATCGCTGTCCGTCGGCACTCATCGCGTTCATGCAAACACGGTTGTAACGCACCATCCGGTAGTGTGACGACGACACGGTCTTACAATTATTATGCAACCCACGAAAATCTCTTACTAAAGTATCTGCACGCTTGACTATGGCAAGCTGTGTTGCCAATAAGATATACTTCTACAATTGTATAAGGGTTGTGGACCCGGAGATCTATCGCCTCCCCGTCCTCCGTTGAGGGTGGGCGTCACACATTGTAGTAGATGGGCCTAGAGGCTTAAACTGCACACCACGTGCTGAAGACGGCAACACCATAGCTGGAATACGGGAGTCGTAGATTTCTGAAGCTTAAGCTTCAGTCTCATCTTTAGATATCCGTGGGTGGGTGGAACTTTCATTCGCATCGCCCACCCCTTGTCCGACCCTGTCTCAAATGCTGATCTCGAGCTACAGTGCAAATCTCGTGGCTCCTCAAGTATTGTTCGGTAGGGAATCGCAACCCATGACCTCTCCCCGAGTTTGAGCAGCCTCCACCTCCTGTGGCCGACACGACTCGGCCTTGACTGTTCATTGTCTGTTTCGCCACGGGCACGGCCGGTTGAACAACGAACGAGGGTCCTGCGTGCTGTGCGCCATCTTTTTTTTTTTGTTGCGTTTGTGATTTTGAGCGTTGTACACATGCGGCTGCTGTATTGCTCGGTATGTGCTGCAAAGCTCGTTGGTAAGGTACATTGTTTCTGTCGCTTTGCACGCGTTGCTCATCACGTAGTAGGTAGCGATGCACGTCTCTTGCGTTTTTCTCTGGGTCGTCATCCATGAACAGCATCAGTTGAGAAGAGACAAACAACACGGTCCGCCGCATGCTACACAATGCATGGATGGTACAAAACGTTGAGCGACAAAGTTGATGGCAGCACAATCTCATGTAACATACATGTAGTGAGCTATGAGAAAGGTCGACACCTTGCTCACGTAACGGTGCGCATCTAACACGGACGGCAAGCGTATTGAGGTATAGTTCATCCGTAGTGCTTACAGTAGTCATTTTCTTTTTTGTTTGTTGTCCCTACGCCACGGGGAGGAAAGAGGGTCGTACGCATACATACATATGTAGTTCGCGAACGACGACTACATATACTATGTTTCTTGCTCAGTGAGACTATAGCAAGAGTACAGTAGTGCTATTAATACTACGCATCTCATCAGTGTATCCGATATCGCCGTTTGCCATGTTGCATTACATTGCCGACAGCTTCCGGTGGGTCAGAGGGACAAGAGGGAGTGTGTTCTCGAGAGTGAATGCCTTGTCTTCTCTCCGCTCTCTTCGTCTACCTCTCTCTCTCTCGCCTTTCGCCGGTGGGGTCCCCACAACAACGCGAGCCGGGATTGGTTTAGTAATGTTTTGGGGTCCCCCACACACCCACCTATTTTCAGCTGTTTTCTGTTTTTCTTGCCATGTCCATGACGTGGTGCCCCGCGTGAGTATATTTCGGTAGGGAATCCAAACCATAACCCCTACCTGAGTTTAGCATCAGCTTCCTCCTTCTGTGGCGGACAAGAAGACCGGAACTTGTCTCGCTGTCGAAACAACAGTTTTCGCACAGTTGAAACAAAGAGGGTGGTCCGGTCTTCCGATTCTGTGTTTTTCTTGCCGACTAACATTCTCGGCTACAGCAATGCAAATCTCATGGCGCGTCAAGCACGGTTCCGTAGGGAATTGGAAATTACGACCCTTCCCCAAGTTTGGGTAGCCCCCGCCTCCTGCGGTGGATAAGACCGGCGTCAAACCCTACATAGAATTTGTCTTTGTCTATGTCGCCGTGTCGCCATCCATTTGCGAACAGCAGTTGGAGAGCCACCAAAAAGACGGTCCGCTTCGCCACCACGAAAACAGACTTTTTTCGCGATTCTTGCTGGGTGAGAGATGATGCTATACGAATGTATCGGGGTTATAGCTAGCTGTGTTTCAGCTTGAAGGATGTAGGGTCGACGGC